CTTCTTTGTTCATCATTTTCATTACCATCTATTAATTTTTTTATTCATTTTTTATGCATTTTTTTTCCTTTCCAATTTCTGCTCCCATGCTTCCTGGTTCGTGCTTTGGATTTCACTCCTTGCATTATTTCTTCTCGTCTAGGCTATCAATCATCTACACCTTTCTTCTTCCAGTCATTTCAATCCTCCTATTTTACCTTCGATTCCATCATTTTTTTTTTATTTCAGAACTTTTGCTCAGTAAAGTTCTTTGTCTTCTTTCTCGCTTCTTTGTACCTTACCTATGGGACGGAAAAGGATAGATGACAATTTTGGAAAAATAGCATATTAGGAAATCACTGCGAATTTTATTGGACATAGTTAGTATTTTATGTGTTGATTGTAAAGGTTTTCACTGCCAGATGGAATATTTAAATGTCATTTTATGTTCAAATTAGATGTTATGTTTTTAATTTGAATTATTAGTTCAATATATTGTCATAATTTTGGTGAAAGTTCATTAGTCAACCATACAAAAAATCGTTACTACTGCATCACTGAGTCAATGTGTAATTATTGGACAGATTCGGCGGCCGCATAACAGACCAATATTATGGCAAGGCTATACTTTCCATACTAATTTGTTCTAAATATTGACAAAAACCATGTGTTGCTGTGCAGTCAGCATGTTTCTTCTTCTTTGTCAGATAGAAAAACCTAACCTAAAAACCGCACAAGTGCCAAAAACCTATCTTACATAAGAGAGTGTTTCTGACACAGCTTCATAACCTACAGTGACGTTGCAGTGTATGTGTAAAAACGCCTGAATTCACAGCAAATACATGACATTTTGACAGTATTCAGTATGATTCAGTAGCGTATGTATGAAATTGGAGCTTAACATGGCCTTACCATAACATTGGTCTGTTGTGCGGGAGAATCGGCCCATAATTTGATTATGTATACGATTCGGGAAATTCATGGAGTTTGCCTTAAGGTAAAATAGTACTTACACTACTAGTTAACTTTTATTCTATTCTACAAAAAAACATAATGCTAGGTATAAAATAGGGTACTTATAGTTCACAAAACCGAT